CACCCCAGAGTCTTCGACCAGAACTGGCTCCTGAACGGGGGCCTGGTTTCTGCAAGCTCTGCTGTGTGTGCCTTCCATCTTTAGTACGAACAGGACTTCCAGGGCTGTGGGCCGTCGGAGAATCGCCCTTCTGCGCGGTTGGGTTTGGCATCTCGGAGCGATGAGCTGGCAAACGCCTCTGCTCCATCTGTTTTCCTTCATTGATGGATTCTTTAAAGTCAGATTGTGGTCCCACAGGGACATACTCAACTAATCCTCGGCTTTTAAGATTTTATTTGCGCAATAAATGGACGACAAGGTGGTTTGCAAGTACATAACACAACAAATGGGTTTATAAATGCAACTTTTCTGCCGAGCACTATAGGATAAAATACAATATCACTACAGCATTTAACGCTGATCTCTGGTTCATTCATATTTCAAACAGTAATGTACCCATTTTCTCATCTGGGAAGCCTCTTAGGTTTTTTTTTTTAATACATTTTTATAAATTAACCAGGCACAGATTTAATAATAACTTGCATTTGTATAGCTTTTTTCATCTCTGAGGATCTTGGATTGCTCTGCAGACTTAATGGCGCAATATAGAAATTGCGTGCCGAAGGATCCATTTGCTCTCCGCCGAAACGCGGCGGGAGCTTGGATTGCTCGTCGCCGAGGGAGGCAGCTGGAATGCAGCGAAGGAGATAACTTGGAGGGGAAGGACGCGGCGCGCTTGATGGGTGCCCAGAGCAAAGCCCTCTGAAGAAGAGGTCACGGGCATGCTGAGGCAATCTGCACGAGAAAAGGAGGATGGTTCCTGAGCCTGGAAACCAGAGTGCTGGAAAACAAAGAAGAAAATGCTCAGTCATGCTCTTCTGCCGCCTTTTGGGATGCGCCATCGCTAGACGGAGAAGCCAAGAATGTGGGAAGACTTGGGAGATTGGACTCTTCTGTTGGTGATGTGTTTCTTTAGCAAGATACCCAACAGCAGACGGCTTTATCCATCAGGACAGGAACCTTCTAAGCAGGAGCATAAGGTTGCTCAACCAAAGTGTTCTGAAGTGATCCAAAACTCTTTAGGAACTTCTCATCTCACCCGTGTTGGCCAAGATGGAAACGAAAAGGAAGGTATTGAGCTGCTTCCTTGGAGATTTTCGTGCTCTTTCAAGAGCTCCCACCCATGTTCTTGGCTTCTGAGCACCTTGGGTGAGACAGGGCTTTTCCAGCCCTCTCTCTTTCCCAGTCACCGTCTTTTGGTGGAGGAGGTTGTCCGTTCCCCATCCTGAAAAGACAAAAGTTCACAACAAAGCTCATGCATAGAACATGCGACAAGAAAAATATTTACAGGCAGCAAATTGGCATCTCGGTAGCAGGAAAACATGAGAAAATGGAAACGTGATGTTTATGTTAATACAAAGTTTTAAAAATTTAATTTGAGACCAGCTGTTTCTGCTTCTCCTATAAGAGTGTAATTGGTATATAATAGCATAGTTAATTAAATACAAATCAATAGTTAAAAACACTAATTGATATTTAATATGTATGGGAAAATATAACTTAGTTGTAATATAATTAACTCAATATTAAATAAGCAATGGAATTGCAATTATACCTTTCCAATGATTATAAAGTTTATCGTTCTTTAATAAACGTGCAATTAGGCGGGATGAGTTGAAAAAATTATTAAACAGGTATTATTGGGCTATTAAACATTTATTATCATTCCTGGTGGAATACAGCTACAGAATAGTACACATTATGATGGAGTTAATAAACCTTTATTACTGCTTTGCAGCTTTAGCCTTCACTGCGCTGGTTACGCAGAAACTCGGTTCCTGCCCTGAGCTGCGGGTGGAGGAATCGCCTGGAAATTGAGTAAGGAAATCCCAAATGAGGGGGGGAAAAGCCAGGAGGTCTCCATCATTTGGGCCAGCAAAGGGAAATGTTTCTTTCAAAGCAAGCTCTGACCCTCTGTTGCCCAGGCTGTGGGTAGAGATCCATTTCTAGAGGACCCCGAGCTCTTCTTTCTTTTCCCTGGCTGCCACCAATGCTGGCAGCGCGGGGTTTGAACTTGCTGGTGCTTTGAGTGGTTCTCCTGCAAGTCTGGGGGTGAATTAACACAGGGACTTCTGAGCTTGTCGGAAAAGTGCGTTCTGCAGTGTATTTTCCAGTGAAAACACAGAAGTTTGCGCCGCTTCAAAGCCCCTGGATGATGAACTTCAACCGTAACTAGTTCTGCTCTGCTGGGAAAAATTGGTCGCCGTTGCGTGGAAATGGCTGGGGTTTGCTCTGTGGGTTGGGGATGCGCGTGTGTTAAAATGTTGTTTTCGGTGGTATCTCAGCAGCCCCCCTAAAGCCAAAGCATTTTAAATGCTGGGTGTCTGCTGAACTATTTTAGCTCTAGGTGGCCACTAAAAGCCATGGAGTGGTGAGACATCCTTAGGCATCAGAGGCGTCTTGAAGTATTTTACCTTTTAAAGGCACTCTCGAGTATTTAAAGGTGCCTTCAGCTATAAAGACTTTAGCATGTTCATACAAATTTATGATATGAATTATTATGAGGCAGTGCTCTTGTATAGCTCCTTTCATCACGGGATATCAAAGTGGTTTATAAGCATTAATTATAGCACCCCTCAGGGAGGCCAATGGAAGATGGACACCCAGACTGGTGTGTGTGCCAATCCAGGCTCCAGATGGGCAGTAACCCAGATGTCACCTGGATCCAGCCCGGGTGGCTCAGCCCGGACTGTCCCTGCCTCCTGCAAGGGCAGAGCTGTGGTTGGGACCTCCGGGGTAGCGCAGCCGTTGCCTTGCGTGGTAGCCCTTTCCCACAGCCCCTAAAGCCCGACCTCCTTCCAGGGAGCATTTTTCTCCCAGTGAGTGGAAGATGAGGGCCGGACAGCCGAGTGGTGGGATATTCATCCCCCAGGTGGGCTGCAGCTGTTGCTGCCTCCGTCGCTGCTTTGGTTCGAGATGCTCTTGGGGTTTGCAGCCGTGGTCTGTGCCTGCAGGAGAAACCCAGCCAACACTGGTGCTCGGTGAAGGCTCAAAGAATCGATGCAGTTTGGCTTTCCTAGCAATGAAGATGTGAACACCTCTTGGCTGCTTTGCGTGTAAACGGCCCCAGAAGCTCTCAGCAGGCTCGCAGCCGTCTGCCCACACGCACGTGGGATGGCTGGTTTCCCAGGCATCGTGGAAACCCCACTCAAAGGTCTTACCAATTCTAGTTATCAGACAGCGCCAAGGGAAGCACCCTGTGCTGAACGTCCTGCAGCTGCCACCGGCAGACCCCAGCAGTGCTCAGGAGCAATAGAAGCATCCAGTGCTCTGCCAGTCTACGCCTTCCTTGGTGTATTTGCCATGGTGGTGTAGGCCGTGTGGGGACGGCAGATCGTGTCACCTCCATGCTGCGGAGCAGGAGGGCTGGTTTCCACCTTTGCGTCCGAGGTGGGAGATGGTTGGTGTCCATCTCTTGCTGTTGCTTAGGACTCCGATTCAAGAAATGGCTGAGGACGTGGATAGTTGATTTATCCACCCTGATTTGTCTGGTCTTTAGATGTCTACGTCTGAGTTAATCACCGCCTGCTGTGGCTAATGAGAGTTACAAGGACTCCCAAAGCCAGCCTGTGCAGATGGAGCGAGTTGCTTTCTGGAGGTGCCTGTTTCTTGCTGGGGTGCTACCTTAGGTGGCAGTGTGGATTTAGGGTGGGGTGGGGGAATTGAATTTTTTGCTTACTCTAAGCGTCTCAGGACACTTACTTTTGTCTGAGCATTGATTTCAGTGGGATTATACGTGTGGGTTGTTTTGGGTAGATGCTGATGTCCTCCCTGATGGGAGCACTGGGATCAGGAGCTGTTGGTCCGTAGCCTCTTGCAAGGTGGAGCCCTGTTCAACATTAGACAAAGTGCTTGAACTAGTCCTGCTTGTAACCCCGAGTGTCCTGGGGTCAAAAGAAGTCCTTTTTATTTTTTGCTGGGTTTAGGCTCTGATTTTGCCTCATGCTGTGCCCAAGAGGAGGACGCTGACCCCTCTGCTGGGATGCTGTGGGAATATTAGGGAGGGATCCCGTATATCTGGCTGTCTTCCCTGCACGTCCCGCTGCAGCGAGCCATTTTCCTCTCCCTCTGGGCCCGGTCCACGTTCGCAGCTCAAACCCAAGTCTGCGTCACGGCGCTGGAAGCCGAGGCTGCCCGGCAGCGCTCGCTCTGCTCCGAAGCTGTCGCTGCTCTCTCAGCCCTCCCGCTTGGCCGCCTTCGCCCCTCGCGTGCGGCGCAGCTCCACGGCACTCCCCAGCGCTCCTTCCTCGGCAGAGAGCGGGGCTCCGAAGAGACCGCGGCCACATTAAGTAAACATCAAAGGGGCTTTGATCAGCAGGGCTCCGCAGAGCGCAGAAGCCCCCGAGGAGCTCGGCAGGTCCGCAGGCGGGCAGCATCGGGGACACGGTACCTTAATTTTCTCCACTGTGACACAGGAGATTTTGTTTGAAGAACCAGAGGTTTTTGCCGCTCCGAGATGCGCACGGGGAGAGCACGCGTGCGCGCAGCCTGCTTCTGGAAAAAAAACCCCACGTTGAGATCTCTGTGTGCTACCGATAGCCAGAAAGCCCCATTAAGAAATGAAGGCATCAAAGGCACGCGTCTCCTCAGACTGGGGCACTTTGCTGCTCGTAGGGTCGCTCGCTCGCTTCTGAAGAGCGCGATGCCTCAAGCCGGAGGCGTCTTCCCTTCTGAGGGCCCTTTTTGCTGTGCTGCCGGCCGAGGGAGGAAGGGATTAAAGAGTCCTTCTAGTGGCCACGCGCTGATGTGGAGGAAGACGCAGCTCGTTCCCTGCTTAGAGTAGAGGAGCACTTAAGCGATGGGCGAGGGAGGGGATGGTGACCCTCCTGTCTCTAGATCCACGTGGCTAAGTGGAGCGGCAGCAGCTGGTTTGGGACCCCCAAGTTCAGCTGTGAGGCTGACCAAAGGCTTGCTCTCGTCCCCAGCCCAGCCTTCTAACATGGCTCTCTCTTCTCTTGCAGAACTGGGGCTCCCAGGAAGAGGATGCTGCCTAGTGCTGGGGTTCATGTACAAGGAGAAGTACCGCAGGATGACTGAAGGTGAGCAGCTCCCTCACCTTCCATTCTTCCTTCCTCTTCAGTGCTCTCATTGCAAGGGATGGGGGTGTGCTACTGCTAGGAAAGTGCGCGGTTCTTGTTCACACCAAGGAGAAAATCCCGCTTCCCCTTGGAGGTCTGAAACATCTTAGTGGGCACGGAATGTGGGAAGCCCCCTGCATGACACAGCAAGAGAAGAGCTGGAGCTTTAGTGGTTCCATACCTCCAAAATCCACACTCTTTTTCCCATGGGAAGGATCTGTCACATGGGAAGCTCTCCCAGCAATTGCTGCATCTAGTCTCTTTACTCCAGCTGGGTTCCTCACCGTGACCCCTGCAGAGGACCAGTTCTCCATGCCTTTGCACCCCTCAGGAGCTGTTCTGTTGTTTGTCAAACCCCGGCGTTCTGGCAGAGATCTCGCTCAAATTTCCCTATTTACATTCTGGTCATTCCCCAAGTACTTTATGAGCATTGATTAATCCATGGAAATATCATAAATAATTATGCAGCATAATAACTAAACAAAAACTACGCTTGGAAGAGTTGGCACCCTTGCTTCTGGTAGCTTCGTTGCCTGGCTGATTTTTCTGGAGCAAACCCTGGTGCAGCACCATCTCTAGCGCCGGAGGAGAGAAGGGTTTGAGATCCCAGAGGCCTGTGAGATGGGGAGGTTTAGGGTGGATATTAGGAAAAATGTCTTTACTGAAAGAGTTGTAAAGCGTTGGACCAGGCTGCCCAGGGTGGTGGTGGAGTCCCCATCCCTGGAGGGGTTCAAAAAACGTGTAGATGTGGCACTTGAGGACATGGTTTAGCAGGCGTGGTGGGGTTGGGTTGGCCGTTGGACTTGGTGATCTTGGAGGTCTTTTCCACCCTTACTGATTCTGTGATTGTACGGGAGGGTCTCAAGGGTACGTCAAGGAGAGTTTGGCTGCTGTGAGGTTACTCTGGGGTCTGCAGACTTGATCCAAACATGGGTTTGATCCTCTTTCTGGGGCTTTGGTTGGCTGGGCTTTGGGCAGAGCCTGTAGCTTGTGTGGGATGGCGCGTTGTCTGCAGCTCGGCGCGGCGGTGCCCACTCATGCAGGAAGCCTTGCCTTCCAGAGAGCCAAAGGTGCGTTAGCTTTCACGGGGTAGAACTCTCGTGGAGGCAAGCTGATGGCTCAGATATCAGTTAGAAGATCAAAGGTTCCTTCAACTTCCCCAGAGCCCTGACGCTGAGCGGATAACGTGGGGAAAGCACTTCACAAGGCTTCACCTCCTGCTTGTTAATTACCGTGTGCTTTTTAAACGTTGATTAGGGTATGTTTTAAATAGGAAGGGGCTGCCCCTTGGGGGAGTGGATGGCAGAGTCTCGTCCGAGTCTCCCTCCTGATACCTTCCTGTCCCATCAGCGTCTCGGAGAGGGCGGGAGCACCGTGGCTTTGTGCGGAGAGAACAAAGAAACACGAAAGGCCGAAAGTGAAGGCTTTGTGCGGGGAGAGGGAACAAAGCGTTGTCCCCCGCAGGACCGTTACGCTTCAAGGTACAATTGGCCAAACACAAAGTCGAGGGATTTCCATGGCTACAAAGACTGCCTAGGGCTTGTGTTTTCGCTAGAGGCCGTCGCGGATGACAGTTGTGGGCCTCCAGCCTCCCGGGTTTTTGGTGGATTTTAGTGCCGATCCACGCTGCGCGGTGCGGGCTGAGCTCTGATATGAACCAAGGGGGGGTTCGGATCTCTGGTCGTCTACAGAGGTACAGCGAAGGGGTTTCCTGCCCGCAGTACCCGAGGGAGACTCTTTGGACCAGTCGCCTCGCAGGGATAAGGAGAGAGACAGCTTCCCTTTCATATTTTTGCCAAGTGAGAGCTTTTCCTCTTTTTGTTGCGTGATGGTGCTAATGAAAAGCCCTATTAATAATTACAGGGTAGCTGAAGGAACTGAAAGCAGAGGTAGGCAGTGGGGCAATCGGATAATTACGAGGTGTGGGGTCTCGGAAATGGGTAATTACAGGGATCGTTAGAACCTGGCTGTCACTTAACGGAGACATCTACAAAATGCGCTGGTAGGTAGAGAAGCACAAGAGGACTTAGATGGAGGCTTTGTCAGCGTGGAGGAATGGCTTCTTGGTGGGACGGCGCTTCTCTTGGCTAAACCTGTGGAGAAGACCCAGGCTGGCCACTTGCAGGGAAAAATAATGTTGTGCCTGACGGATGCCCAGCGAGGGTCTCGGGTAGCGTGATGTTTGTTTACCAGCTGGCAAGGAATGGGCGTCCATTAACGCAACTGGTTGCAGATGGAGGCTCTCCTGGCTGAGCTCTTCCTCCGGGGCGAGAAGCCACCATAAGCCTCTGAGAACTTGCCTCTGTCAGAGTTAGTTAACTCAGATCCGTTCCTCATACCGACACCAAGCAGCCCGAGCCCTGGTGGAAGGGGTCTGGGTGAGGTGGTGGTGTTGTCTCTCCCAGCTGCAAGGCAGCACAGCAGCCTGGGCCGGCGACGCGCGAGGCCGGGATCATCTGGGCGCTCTCCCTGCAAGCTGGCGTTGCTCTGCCGTCCCGGGGGCGGCTGCCTCTTGCTTTGTGGCCACTGGGAAGCCCGCACGAGGAAAGGCACTGGATGTGGGGGTGTTTTTGGGGGTGTGTGTGGGCTGGGGAGCGAGAAGGCACCGCTCCAGCGTGACCGCGACGCGCTTGTCCCTTTGCTGTGATTGACAACTGCCTCGTCCGCGGGCTGGGATCGCCGTGCGGCTGAGAGTTGTAGGGTGAAATGAAGCTGGTGACAGTCGTAGAGGGGTTGAGCTGTCTGCAGTGACGGCCTCGCAATAAAGACGCTTCAGAGTTAATCCTCCGCCATCTGTCTTCATTCTGCTAATAACCCACTCCATCAGACGCCGCCGACTGCTTGTTAACGTTCAGGAACAGCTACAGGATCGGGAGGAGCGTGGTGGTCGCTGGCGAGGGGCTGGATTCCTGCGGGGAACGGCTCTCCCCTGGCACGGTGGTGGTTCGGCGGGGTGCCCGGAGGCACGCGCCGTGCGGCGGAGGTGATGCGGAGGCCAGCGAGCGGAGTCAGGCTGCTTGGGCAGCCCTGGCTCGAGGCGGCTTGGGGGGGGAAAGGGG